AAAGGGGGAGGGGAAGGGGGTTTTGAAATAAATAGGGAGAGAGTGGGAGGCGGATAGAAGAGGGATAGAGGAGAGGATAGGTGGACAGGAAACAAACAGGTCGAAGAGGCGGGGATGGGGCCAGGAAAGGTGAGTGTAGGTAGGGAGTTAGGAAGGGGATAGGTCAGTCCAGGGAGGACGGACAGGTCAAGGGGGCGGGATGAGGTTGGTCGGTAGGAGATGGAGGTGCGGCTTGAGGTGGGAGGAGGGGATAGGTGGGAGGAAGAACAGGTTAGGGAAGCAGGGACGAGCTGGACTGGTTTTGGGATGCGGTAGGGGGAGGGGAGATTTTGAAACTTGTGAAATCCACATTGATACCATTGGGCTGCAGGGTTCCCAAGCGGAATAGGAGTTGCTGTTCCTGCAACCTTCGGGTGGCATCATTGTGGCAATGCAGGAGGCCCAGGATGGACATGTCATCTGAGGAATGGGAGGGGGAGTTGAAATGGTTCGCAACTGGGAGGTGCAGTTGTTTATTGCGAACCGAGCGTAGGTGTTCTGCAAAGCGGTCCCCGAGTCTCCGCTTGGTTTCCCCGATGTAGAGGAAGCCACACCGGGTACAGCGGATGTGCAGATTAAGTGGATTGGCCATGCTAAATTGTCCATTGTGTCCAGGGATGTGTAGCTTGGGTGTGTTAGCCATGGGAAATGCAGGGATGGGGTGGGTCTGGATGGGATGATTTTCAGAGGGTCAGTGTGGACTGAATGGGCTAAATGGTCTGCTTCCACACTGCAGGGATTCTCTAATTCTGATTCTTTGTCAGGGTAGACAGGAAGAAACATTTCCCTTTGGTGGAGCGATCAATGACCAGAGGGTATAGATTTAAGGTAAGGGGAGAAGATTTAGAGGCGAGTTTTTCACCCAGACAGTGGTGGAAATCCAGAACTCACTGCCTGTAAGGTTGGTGTAACGTTGAAACACTCATAATATTTAAGAACTATTAAAATTATGAATTTGTGATGCCGAGGCATGCAAGGCTATGGACCAAATGCTGGAAAATGGCATTAGAACAGTTAGGTATTTGATATTGACCAGTGCGGACCAGATGGGCTGAAGGGTCTAGGTCCGAAACGTCAGCTTTCTTGCTCCTCTGATGCTGCTTGGCCTGCTGTGTTCATCCAGCTCTACATCTTGTTATCTCAGATGGGCTGAAGGGTCTTTTTCTGCACTGTAGATCTCTATGACTCTATGACAGGTAAAGGCACCTGCAAGACGGACATTAGGGAAAGTTTAAGGCTGATTATTTGACATTTGTTTGGAAACTTGGATGATTAATTTCATACAAGCTGGTAGAAATGTCTTTTTTGCAGTGACATTTATTTGGGCACAGTCATCAAGAGAATGACAGATGGTCTATTCCAGTAGGGACAATGTTGAATGTGGAATTGCATTTGTTCTCACTGGCACCACAGTTAGGTGAGCTGATTATGGACAGGGCAGCCAAAACAGGAGACCTTGATCACCTCCTCCTTTACTCCTCCTGATTTCTTTTAAGAGAGAGATTGAATCAGAGATGCTGAACTGGATAGTGAAGACCACTTGAGTAAACAGAAACTCCTTGGGTTTCTGTTTAGCAGCCTGAATGGGTGCAGCCAACTCTCACAGATCAGGATTTCTGGGTTTTGGTTTTTTATTAGTATCAGAAGCTGTTGGGATCTCAACAGAGTTGGAAGCCTCGGTCAGTGTCTCCTGGCTACTACACTTTCTGAATTTTCATTTGATGTTTTTTTCTTCCTGGATTGAAGAGGTGCATGTGAGAATCGATGTCTGAATTTTCCTTTTAGCCAAGAGTTTGCCAAATGTTTATGAGATGTTATTATATCAGAGCTGTTAATTAGTAATGGTTACTATATCTATTACTCTGGTAAGTTTTCCAATAGAGTTAAGTTATTCTAAATTCCTCCTTCTTTTGTTTGTACTTTAACTACAGTGTTTAAATAAATTGTGTTTTGCTTAACATTGAGTAGTTTGACCAGTCGCATTATATCTGGAATGCGACATTATATATTTGCTTTTAAAATAAGAAAAAGTTAGGATCTAGGCTACTTTCTTAAAATATTTTGAAGGGAGTCTGGTCTGGTCTGTAACAAATTGTGGGTTCAAGTTGTTGGGATAAAAATGTCTAAATCTAATTTGGGTTTAGGATTATTGGGCGAGTGGTAGGTGTTAGTATCTTTTGTTTTGGGTGTTAAATTCGGTTGGTTTAAACAGGGCATGCTTTGTGTAGTAATAGCTCTTTCAGTCACAAAAGAATTTTCTGGGGGTGGAAGAAGACAGTTCGGGAGTTTTACAGAAAGTGAGCGAGGCAAAGCTTTCCGAATTGGCAAACAAGCTGGAGATGAGTTTGTGTCTGTGAGAGAAAGGGAAATAATTGTAGCAATCACGCAATATTTACAATTGCCTGGATTGCCACTGGAATAATTGGAAATGGCTAAAATTCAATTGGAAATGAAGCAGCTTGAACATGAAAAGGAAATGAATTCTGTTTGAATTCTGATCAAAAGCAGAGGCAAAAGAAAAGGAAAGAATGGCCTGGGTGGAGGAAAAAGAGAAAGAGAGGAAGGCCCTAGCAGAAGGAAGAGAGAAAGAGAGAGAAGAAAAACTGAAAGAGAGAGGGTTTGAACTTCAAAAGTTGGCCATTAGAGAGGAAAGTCAACTTGAAAGGGCAGAGGTGAAGCTAGAAAATATGATTAGTGAGGAGGATAGTAATGATGAGCAAACCCATCATAGCCAAAGGCCCAATGGGGAACTGTTTAAATATGTCCAAATGACAAGAAGGATGTAGAAGCCTTTTTCATTTCATTCGAGAAGGTGGCTAAACAAATGAAGTGGCTGGTGATCATGAGGGTATTGTTGATTCAAACAATGTTGATAGTTAGAGCTGGTGAGGTATTTGTATCACGATCAAAGGAGATACCTGGGGAGTATAATGAGATAAAAAAATGCAATCTGAAGTGCATCTGAACTAGTGCCAGGAGTAAATTGACAATGTTTCAGGAATCTAAGGAGGGAACCCGGTCAATGTACATCGTTGGAAAGGATCAAACAAAGTAATTTTAATAAGTGGATAAGGGCATTGAAAATAGATCAAACATATGATACTCTTAGAGAAATGATTATTTTGGAGGAGTTCAAAAATTCATTTCCTGAAGTAGTGAGAACTCATGTGGAAGAGTAGAGAGTTAAGACTGCAAAATTAGCAGCTGAAATGGCAGATGATTATGAGTTGGTTCATAAATCAAAGTTTCGTTTTTGACATCAATTTCAGTCTGTGAAGGATAGAAATTGGGGAAACGAGATATCGTCAGGTGGTAAGGGAAAAGGAGATCACATTGAAGATAGTAAAGATAGTTTACCACAGGGGAAAAAGGAAACCCATGTGAGAGGAAGAGAAATAAAAAGCTCGGATGTTTTCACTGCAACAAAGTAGCTCACATGAAGTCACAGTGTTGGTGGTTTAGAAAAAGCACTGGGAAAACAGATGTGGGAAAACAGGATAAGCCAGTGAGTTTTGTTGAAGTGTTAAAGGAAAGTGCAATGGAAGCTAAAAAGTTGCAGCAGAATGTACAACGTGGTCAGGGATTGGTTGAAATAGAAGTGCTGGATCTCCTTAAACAATTTACTTGTGAGGGTAAGGTTTACTCACACATGCCAGGAGGAGCAGGCAAAGAAATTAAGTATTTAAGAGATACGGGGGAACATGTCAATCTTTGATGGTGAGAGATGAGGAGCTATGTAATTCGGAAGGCGTATTGCCAGAAAAAGTGGTAATATGTGAAATTCATGGTGAGAAGTGCTCCATTATGTAAAGTGAGGTTGGAGTGTCTAGTGAAAAGTGGAGAAGTGGTGGTAGGAGTACTGGAGAAATTCTTGGTTTCAGGAATGCAATTTGTCCTTGATAATGATATAACTGGATCACAGGTGGGAGTGATGCCTACTGTGGTTCAAAAGCCAGTGGAATAGCAGGCAACTGAGGTATTACAGGAAATATATCCTGGGATTTTTCATGACTGTGTGATAACCAGGTCAGAAAGCCACAGCATTGTCACAGTGTGTTGTGTTATGTCTCACAGCAGATGGTTGATATACCTTTAACAGGCATGTTCATGATGTCATCACATTGCGGCATACATCCTAATGATACAAAGCTCTCAGATATCATCTTACTGAGCTCTGTACTCTTCGTGTGTCCTGTTGAGGAAATCTTGTTGCAACACACCCGAATTGCTTTTTTTGAGTCCAGAACATGCAAAGTGC